AACAGCAACAATGTTTCCTTCATTAATTTGAGGTAGCGTGTAGTGGGTAAAAAATTCAGAAATGAATTTTCAGAATAATATTTCTTACATACATGTAATATTAAAAATTTACAACAGTACCTGTATTTTTCCTATTACGGTAGATTTATTATTTTTTTCTATCAGTTAATCCTTAACGCAAACCACTTTTTGATTTCAATTGTTCACAAACAATAAATTTCTTTGTTTCAACGACTTTGTGACAGATTTGTTACCTATTAATCGGTCTAAAATCCCTTTGGCCGATCGAGAGCCTCTTCGCTTCCGGAAGCTTCAGCAGCATTCTGACATCGTCACTAATTACACGTAACCAATCTAGTGGTCTTATCCTCAATATTTATACGTAGCGTAACCGAGTAGGCGACGGTTGTGCGTCGTGGTGGTAGTCGTCGGTTCCTACGACTCCGCTCGACAGCCCGCGGCCTGCTCATTAGGGTGCACTTCATCTGTAGGGCCAACTCTTCAATTGTCTACTGCCTCCTATGATGTTGACGCTGGCATACCTGCTACCCATGTATAGAACGATGATGATTTAAAAGTAGCAACGACTGCAAAAGTGTAATAGATCTTTAATGATTGACTTACACAAATATGGGAAGTATATCTGGTATACGGTTGGTATAAATCATCAGTTTCATGAAAAAACAGATGAAGAGCATATCTGTCGTTGAACATGAAACAAATCATTGGATGTGTGATTCCCATCAGTTACTATTACTAGTGAGAAGGCAGTTCCTTCAGACTATGCCGGAGAGTAAGGCGGAAGACCCTTTCCAGTCGCCTCTGGGGATCGTGTGAATGGGTGGGTGGAGATTGGGGTTAGAACTATGAGACGAACGAAATTAATACAGAAGAAAGTGAAGATACCTCAGTAATTGCCTAAGGGATCCCAGGAAACCACAGAGAAACTTGTATTAGGGCCGGTAGATGACCCGGAATCAATCCAGCGTCTTCCCGAAAAATAAGTAATGATCTAAACATCTAGGTCATGTCGATCAATTCGTGTGTGATTTCCACCAGTTACTATTACTAGTGAGGAAGTAGTCCCTTCAGACTACGCCAGAGGGTAAGGCGGAAGACCCTTTCCAGTCGCTTTTTGGGAACAGTGTAAATAGGTGAGTGATGATTGGAGTTAGAAATATGAGACGAACGAAATGAAGACAGAAGATAGTGAAGATACCTCAGTAATTGCCTAAGGGATCCCAGGAAACCACAGAGAAACTTGGACCAGCACCAAAAATAAGCAAAGATCTAAACCTCTGGGTCATGTCGATCAATTCGCAAATGAAGATTTCAGATAACTTTTATACAAAATAAGATGAGATAATCATTGACTATTGTCTAATTGCTTAATTGTGTCAAAGGGTACATTCCAAATGTTTCTAAATTAAACAATAACTGGTTTTAGCATAATTTCTCCATTTACTTTTAATCTTTGAATTGTTTAAACAAACTTTGAGGATAATATGTGTTAGAGAAATTTTCTGAACTTGTCAAAAAACTTCCAAATCGAAATGACTTTATTACTTGATCATTGGATTGTAAACCAATCTGGTTTAAAAGCAAATTCAATGTGAAGGTAGAGCAATACCTGGCAAAGTGGTAAAATTGAAAGCTCATGATGTCTACACAGTAGGTAAACTATGTTCAAAAAGAATACACGATGGAAAATGTCTATAAATGTTTTGCTTTTATTGTTCTTATCTTTCTTCGTGTTCTTTCGGTAGAAGAGTCGTGATTTTAGCTCAGCTCATCTATGCTTAACATTGTTTTTCTTAAGTCCTTTCATCTTTTGTTGATGGAGGTATTTGTGATAACATAGTACACGGGGAGACCGGTGGTTTGGTCTCTGCCAACTTTTTGTTGAACAACCTCTTGACCAGAATCCTGTACAACCAACTCTTCCATGTTACATCTTATCTTCAAATGATATTAGTTAAAAATTTTGAGGTTTTTGACGTGAGAACGTCTTATAATTCGATGGAGCCGGCTGCACGCACGAAGAAACATGACTCATGCGGCGTTACCTCGCTCTGAGGCGTTCCATTTAAGGCTTGAAATGCAAGCGAGAGCGCGGAACGAGCGACAAAGAAGCACAATCGGCCTCCGCGTTCGGCAGCGTTCGACATCTGTCTCTCTCCTACTTGAGTCAGCGATGCGTCCGCGTGGACAGCTGCTATACAATAATACATTTCCATTTACCTCCTTCTCTATATCCATACAAAATATCTATCAAACAAATAAAATTAAAATTTTCTTTTGAAAAAATGAAACCATTTCTTCAGTATTTTCTTATGACGTTGTCACGTTCAACTATCGTTAGTAAACCGACTTTACAGACAACCGTTTTTTTTATTTCTTCCTGGACTGATTTACTTTGCTTATTATTGTATTTGTAAACTTCCAATGTTTATTTCTATAGTTTTCTGGCATCCTTTTTGTCGATTTTTACCCCAATAAATACTCCAAACATTACAGTATTAATGCACTCCTTTCACGTTCATCGAAATGCATTACTTACGAATTGGTAAAAGAGAACAATTTCCTTATGAATCTCAAATATACTGCTGCCAAAAATATCGTGTTTTACGGGTGCATTTACTTTTAAACATATTGCAGTGTAAAAACGATTGTGTTGTATCTATAATAGATATATACATAAACAAATAAAACTTTTGGTTCAGACAGAGTGGTTTTGCGTGAGTAATAAACGTTAATGCTTCTCCCTTAATAATCTTTACACTGTGTAAAATTTATTATGTGAAAACAGGAGCAAACAAGATTAAATGAAGTTACGATGCTTACAAGTAACCATCGTGAGAAGATGACTTCATTTACCTTAACAGATAATCGGGTCGGTTTATCAAAGGCTGATTCTGTTCCAATATACTATTAAAGACCCGTTTTGTATGTAGCTGCTATCTGCCGGTGCTTCCCCTATTTTCTGTGCACCGTTTATATCTATCAACCTTCAGAGAACACGGCGAACGCGGTGGCGTTGTCTCAGCCTACTTCCTCATCTGGTGTGTTTATTGCTTCCGCGTACCATCATTGGAGTGCCGCGTACAACGCCTGTAGGCCTTTATGTGTGCGTTGTAATACATGTACAACCTATAGTCGATCTAGGAAGCTGCGACGGCGGCGTTTGTTACCAAACGGCAGTTGTAGTTGGGGAGGTCTATTATGTCGTTGATTTATTTTCCAATTAGTACATTAAGTTCAGGTAGAGGAACAGAAGGAGACTTGCATGCTCCTGTGGAAATACCTAACCTACACTAAGGAGCAAAGATGGAAAGGTTGAATGAAAATCGACTTATGACAACGCGAAATTAGTCTATATAACGAGGCTTTTAATAAAACAATGAGAATAGCATGGCTGATAATGATTAAATTTTGATTTTGCAGAACGGATGTGGGTTGAAATACAGCACAACAGTATTTATCTCAATATTATATGGATATCTGCAGATATGTTAAAGTGGTTTCATGCACCCTTAAGTTCATTTATCCATTGACTAAAAAAATCTTAAACAAAAACATATCGATAAAATTCAAAAATATGTATATATAGGTACCTTTAGTCGAAGAAATAAATGAAATGTGGTATCAGAATGCACAATTCCAATTATTCCAATAATAATTTCATTCAACAGGCGTTACAAGCACCTACAACCTATTACGTGCTATCCTAGCCGAATTGGAAATGCATCAACTTATTGCATACATCAGCTTACAAAAATGAGTAGTCCTTGATAGATGTGGAATAGTACGAAGATTTCTTAACATCTCTATTATATCCTCTTTCTAGATAACAATTAAATTCATTAGAAGAAGGACTATTAATAATCCTCGATCATATTAGAAAGAGTAAGAGAACAGAGGACTCTATGGAAGTCAATAGGAAATGGGCGAGATAGGTTGGTAGGACACCTTCTCAGTCATGAAAGTCTAGTCAGACATATTAAAGGCAGAAACGGAAGTTAGGAGGGGTAGAGGTAGACCTAGATTAGATTATTGTTCGCAAATAGATAAGGATGTGGGTTGTACTGATAGCTCCATCCATAAAACAATAATAGTAAATTGGTTTCCACAACTCAACGCATCCAAAAGTGAGTGTGGTTCTTTGGCATCCGCCAATTTGCTCAAAGTAGGCTAGTGAAAACTGAGAAGACTGGAGAATTAATAATAGCGATGCTCCCTAAAAAGAATGGACAAGGATAAACACACACAAGATATTGGGTCGAAAGGACAAGCAGTGATTTTTTTTTTCTTTTTCTCTTTTTTATTTTGTAATAACTAATGTAGGAGTATATGGGTGTGAAATGTGGGTGGTGGGCACTACGGAAAAGAAAAAATTGGAAGCATTTGAAATTTGGTGTTACAGAAGGAAAAAGTGGGGGTGAATCCAAGGGGTCTTCATGCTGGAGACTTTACAATGGTGATCTCAAAGTTAAATTCTATTCTTGTCTCTTTATATATGAATTTGAAGAACAGGCTTGAAAAAGATAAAATTTGAATTGTTTATGAATTACAGTAGTACAGGAAGGAAAAAGTTTGATCTTCCTCATTTGCTCAAGTTGAGATTCATGTGGCACTTGTCGTTCATTGAAAAACATTGTAGACACATTGTAAGGGCCGGCGGCGAATCCTCTTCATCCGAAGACGTAGTGGTGGCTCTAGGATGACAGATACATCCACCTTTGTAGAAACATGCACATGGAAATAATAATATAGAGTACGACAGCAATAATAATCGTACAAGTTGTTCATCGCAGGCACAGCTTGTGGAGAGAGAGTGTCGAGAGAGTTGACGACTACGAATACGAATACCTCTACGAACATCAACAACAACCATCGCGTATTCCGTTTGAAGATCCTTGTCCAATTAAAAATATCCTCATTAGAAATGGCATTGTTGCTGTTGTACAGCACGATTCTCGTCCGCGCGCCTCGAGTGCCTTCTATGTAACAATGTCTTGAAGTGGCGCCCAGTTCACTATTGTATTTCCAACGCGACACCTCCGCAGACACCTCCTCCCGGGTGCTTTTGCTTTGATTTTTGTTCGGCTTTTTAAGGGCGCTGCAACTTGCATCACCACCACTACCATCATCGACACCGACGTCGTCCTCCACCCCTGGTCCTCGTCATCCATTCCGTAGACGCTACAACGCCAGCTAGTTGCTGCCGTGTGTGTTGGTTGTTGTTTAGCGATTGCTTTGACTGCGCGCCCAGAAAGAAATGATACTCGTGTTTAAATTATTCCACAAGGCTTTCGAGCCTCCTCCGACAAGTACCTACCGGAGATAATAATGGTGCTGCTGACTACCGGCTGCTTGGTCCTTCCATGCCTGCTGCTGCTGTTGTGATTTTCCGAGAGCGCCGTTGTTTTCTTGTTGTTGTTGCTGTTGTGTGTGGTAGTAGATAGTAGTTGTAGTTGTATCGTCACGGAAGCAGCGAGCGCGTGAGTGTGTATATAGCGAAGTACCAAATGACCACTTGAGAGGCATCCGGATTCCGGAATTATCTGCTCCTCTACGAACTGGATCGAGCTCAAGATAATTAACTCCAGCGAAATATGTTTATGTAAACGTCGAGAAGCTACCCCACACATTATACACCCTATTTTTATTATTACTTCACCTATTATTTAAATTGTATTTTAGATAATGCGTATCTAATAGTAATCATATTCTCTTTCCATCTTACCGGGGACCTGTTGATTTCTTTAAAGATCATGGGATGGAGAAATGCCTTGATTTTTCTTTATGGAAATCTATACATTAAGTTCTTCAAACATTATAATTACTTAACAATAAGTCAACAATTAAACCCCATCTTGCAACTTTTTAATGAAAGTACTTATTATTACCGAAACAACCAACGTCGTACCTAATACATGACGGAAGTAGGTACCTCGGGTGTGTTCCGAAATATAACCTAACATACTGGCCAGTGCTGATGACGTCATAAATCGACGCCATATTGTACTGGTGTGCCACCATATTGTACTGGTGAGACAAATGTGATGTAGTAGTATATCAAACGGGCGTGTGTGCATCAGACTTTCAGGAATTTTTTATTGTAAGAAACTTTAATAACTTTTAGAGCAAAATTATTGTAAACGAGCACACAAACACTATAGTCAACATGGCGTCAATTTGACATCAATGCACTGGCCAGTATATTTCGGAACGAATCAACAGTATGGCGTCGATTCATTACGTCATCAGCACTGATCAATATGCTGGGTTATATTTCGGAACACACCCCTAATGTATATAAAGTGATGATAGATAATAGTTTATGAAGAGAAACGACTGTTGTTGTATAATTAAAACAATAAACTTTTCTAAAATATTTGTTTTCGTGCATGAATGAAATAGATTAGTCAAAGTCCGTTCACTCACTCACCACGCGTAACTACCTACAACAAGCAGCTTATTTAGTGTAATTGAGCAATCTTCAATAAGTATATTGTTAATGAAACCAAACTGATCCAGTTCCCCTTTGAAAAATTTAAGATTCATTCCGGCTAGTCTTCAATAGATCAATTTATAATGTATGCTAAGGGACACGCACAATAGAGTTTAAATGTAAGTGTACTTGATCTAGCCATAAATAATGTCAGTATTTTGAGGGAATGTACCAGAAAAACAATTCATGATCCAAACTCAAAAAAAGATTATTTAAATAGTATGAACGATTCTGTTTAAATCGTATACCACTTATTCAAAATGATCGCTTCTACTGGCTACGAACAGAGATAAGCACTCCGTCCACGGATGAATGCATGTACGTACCGTTTCCAGAGAAATTTCCACTGCTGCCTGTGTGATGCTCTTCCTTAGGGACTGCAAATTTTTGAGACGTTTGCGATAGGCCATTTCCTCGAGAGTATTCCATAGTTCGTAATCTAAGGGGTTCAAATCACGACTGCCGAAGGGCCAATCTGAAGTCGCTATGAACGTTGTCTTGAAACCACTTTCAATTTGGCTTTTCATGTGCCGAAATTGAGTCTTGCTGAAAAACAATCAACTCCATCGTAAGTGTCGTTAAGAGGTTGAAGAACCTGTTCCGATTTGTTAGACCGCTGCACTCATTTTTGACGCCAGCTTCCCAAAAATGATTATGAGTTACCCTGTTCCAAGATACGCCCCATCAGACCATCACAGAACTGTGATGGTAACCCCGTTGAACGCGTGGAACTTTTTCGTTGGCTTCATAACATGATCGGGCATATCACTAGCGAAACAATTACAACGAAGTAGATCGGGACGTCTTTAATAAAAAGAAATCATGTTTTTTTATGCTCGAGATCGGTTAATTTGTTAATTGTTATCAAATATTACATTTGATTGACTTTGTTTTGTTTATTAGATGTGAGTTCTCTTTGTCAGTATTCGGATTGAACGTACGCCGCTGTAGTCATGTAGCGGAGTCAGTAGAACGGCACGGCGCAAAGCCGAAGTTTCGTGATTGATTTTATGACAAGTACCTACGTCTGGGTAGGTAAGTGGGAAGTGAAAGAGTAGGCGATAGAAAAAGATATGGACAACGAGAAATTGAATTTTAGACTACTACACTCACTCGTGCATTCGTTTTCTGTTTTAAAGCCTTTCTGTGTACGAATCAGAACGAAAGCCACTGCAATACAGTCGCACACATACACATCATTAAACTAGACGTATTAGTCGTGGCGTTTGTGTGTGTGCGTGTTTCGATCTAATGTTGTAGATTACACATATTATATACACGTTTGTAACTCAACGGGCATTTTTGTATTTAAGATGAAATTTCGAGATATTGGTCGATGTTATACGTATCTACCTATTCGTTCGAAGGATTGTCATAATTGCGAAAACACGAACCTTCATTCATCAACGTCGGGAAAGCGGGACGCATAAATATTCATTTTCTGATGATATTATCGATATATACCTATAGTGTAAGTTTTAAATATTACCCGTGCAAATTGTACCAACCCATAGTCAGCGGCTTACGTTAAAGTGGCAATGAAAAAATGTCAGGAAAGCTGATAAAATCATTGCGCACTCAGTGAAATCGACTAAACAATGTACCTGTAGCAAACTCACAACTCTTTTATCTACATTATATTTAAGACATCCAAGATGTTGTTACTTAAGGAATATCACACCCTCCGATGGATATACTTAAAGACCGCTTTTGTATCAACATCATCATCATCATTAATTTGTAACAGCACATGTCACACGATTCTAACCACTTCTTTCCTGCTGCGGCCACCGTCTACGTTTCGCACCCGTACAGTGCTGTGTTTCAGGCATACATCTTTAACAATCTTTTTTGAATTTTTAAATTAACCTTTGCTGTACAGAACTGACTTCCTGTTCCCAACTAGAATTTTGATGGGATGCAGGTAGGATACCTAAGTGGGTAGTCACACTACCTCTTGTGGAATCCACGAGATTGCCCCTTACGGCAAGGAAGGGGCATATAACGTCTTGCTGTATTTGCGCGCCATCAGGAATGGCGCATATCGTGCCCCCTAAGGAAAAGTTATTTCTACCCTATTTTTTTCATTTTACCGAGAGTATTTTCAAAAGGAGTTGCCTCATCGACCCCCATAAGGTAGATTTAATTGTAAGTTTATACATGTAGGTAATAGGTTTGCCCCTTAAGAACCATATGGAAAGGCAATCCTCATTTTAGTATCACCACTTTTTTCGGTGGGATTTTCATGAGGAATCTACGGGGAAATGCCTATATCGGCATGCCCCTTATTAGCCTCATGAGGTCCGCACACTACATGGGGCATTCCCCCTATAAATTGTAGTCGGGTTGTTAAAGGTGACTCGATCCAGTGCTATCTTTTGTTTAATATCTCTACTGCTGCTTCCATCCTGAATTATCTGACTTCCTAATAGATACCGAAAATCAGCGGTAATTATAAAATTTACCACCTTCCAGCGACAAATTGTTTCAAATTGGCAATTTATCAATAAATCCGTTAGTAAATAGTGCGATTCTATTAGAGATCAAATCAAATGCTTAATGTTCTATTCGTCAGTAAGTTTTTGGCATCGTGACGTCAGTCGGTTGCCAATATGAGCCCGTAAGATCAATGAGCTGTAATAGATGTCGTTAGGAATCGCGGAATTATAATTGCCAAAAACATAGCCACGCTAATGGATTTATTTTGGTTTATGTAGGCACGCAGTTGAATTTCTTATTGTCATTCGCATTAATTTATTGGAGTAATTTGGGATACATTTAGACAAAACTGTTCACAAACCGATTTTTAATAAATGCCTAACTTTTGTCTGATAGCTTTAACAACATTCTACTCAAATGCAATCGATATGTCAAGGACAACGAAAATAACAAATCTCTTCGTCAACGTCAATTAATTGTGGCTTAATTGGTAGCGATTTTGATGATATAACTCTTCCATGTTTTTTTTTATACTTCGTTTTTCAAGTCTATATGCTTCAATAATAGGTGCCTATTTTCTTTCTGATGTTATTCCGTCAAGGCCTGACCAAAAACTGTCAATTGTTTGAATGAAGGCGTGGAACTTAAAACTTGCTGAACCAATCAAAGTTATAATTTATAAAATTCGTTCACTTTTTATGCCCATTCATTTCAGAATCATTTTACTAATTGTAAAAACTAATCGTCAATTAAAGAAAGGTACTTACTTCACTCATGAGTCATGAACTTCCTTTATCAATAAGCATATTAAGCAATGTGGGAAGTAACCTGTACATTCTCTGTGCTTTCCCTTAGATAGATACACTGTGGCTAATATGAATATCAACAACAATCTATTAAATAAAAAACAGCAGTTATCACCGACAAACACACTTCCTATCAGGCAGGTATTTACATGCTCGCGTTTTGTATGTACATGTAGCAGTAGCCCGAGAGTAGAGCTCGTTCTCGCTGCTTGCTCCCCTAATGCCGGGATATGAAATATTTCCCTACTTAAGTTGATGGCTTTTCTTAAATTCGTCGCTCGTTGTCGCCCCGCGGCAGTTCTCGCGGCGGGCGACATCGGCGGCTTCTTCTACCGTGACGACATCTACGCGACGAGCCGTTGTCGTCGACGTACACACGGACGCACGGCGGAGGCGAAGCGACGCGACCGACGACGGTGGCATGAGAGGCTTAAATAAATTATGTGTGTATTTTTATTTTTCGTGTATGTATGTGTGTTTTGTGCGAATTTATTTGCCGCTCGCTACGTACACGTAGTCCCGCGGTTGGGAGTAGCGCGGACAGGGGATTTATTGTTTGGAAAATTGCTATTTTACGAGAAGTATTTCGGGAATTTACGATTGCCCCTTAATCGACTGGTTACGTGTATATGTTTATGTATGTGTGTTGCGAGTGGTGTGACGGCTGTGGTGGTGTAGTGACACTGTCAAGCGTCGCACAGCATCTCTCTTACATACTTAAACTTACCACGGTTACCAACTTCCTTGTCGGTACAGATACCTCTACTACAGGGATAAGTATTAGGTGTCCTGGAGAAGCCGCTTTCCTGACAGTTACAATCTCATGGATTGCACGATGCGTACGCGAACGGAATTTTTAAAGGATCATTCTCGTTTCCATATCTCCTGTAGAGGCAGATACGTATAAAATGCAAAATTTTACCTACTTCACGAGGTATAATGCGTGGACATCAAAATCAACACCTAATATGTATAACGATATTCCTTCTAAAATAAATTTTTCATTTCATTTTATGTAGGTGTTATGAAGACTTTTGCTCCTAGAATGATTGTAGATACATTTCGCAAAATTTTACCGACATCATCTAGATTCAGTTTGACATATATTTCTACGGTGAATAGTCAGTTTAACGATGAATTACTGATTATTTGGACATCACCCCCTGAACGTATTTTTTGTTGTTTGTGATTGACAAGTAGTATTGGGACGACAAGCACACTGATGTCTGTATGATAACGATTTTAAAAAGATTTTGTGGAATAAAGGCCGCTTCTGTCGATTGATAGAAGTACCCACCTAATGGGCCATCATCTAGATTCAGTTTGACATTTGTTTCTACGGTGAATAGTCAGTTTCACGATGAATTACTGATTATTTGGACATCACCCCCCGAAAGTATCTTTTGTTGTTTGTGATTGATAAGTAGTATTGGGAAGACAAACACACTTATATCTATCTATATGATAACGATTTTAAAAAGATTTTGTGGAATAGGGGCCGCTTCTAATGGGCTATGTTTATTTATTATTTGGATATACCTATCTGACCTAGGTATGTCTATTTGTATGTGCTGATATATAAGTGAGAGCGAGCCTTATATCGGCAGTTGTAGTACCTACCTAGTAATAGGGCGTCTCCCGGCGGGCGGCGAGCGGGTAACGACGGCGCAGAGCGTCGGCGTTTGCAAAAATCGAACATCTATAGTTGTGTGCGCAAGAAGTCGAACGAACGAGCGGAGAGAGCGAACGGCTAGAGAGAGGTCAGAGGTTAGCGAGACGAAGGCAACGGCGGCGATGGTGACGGGTGAGCGGGGGTCACCGATCAGCGGCAACGGACGGGGTGGGTGATGGGTGGACCGCCGTCGCCGTCGTTGAAGCCGCCGCCACCGATACACTCACTAACTCTTACCGCCGCCGCTAGTGTTGCTGCTCCGATGTCGAGGAGAGAAAAGGCGCGCGCGGGGGAAGAACCGATAGGAGTTTTTTTATGGACAGCCGGCCCCGGGTCGACGACGGCGACGCCGGTCGTGTCAACGACGACGGCGTCGTTCGATACCGATTGTTCCACTTTCAGATCGGTGAAAGAAGAATAGCTACGGCGGCGTACAAGCACGGCGTTCCGTACGTATCCACCTACATGTGAACACAATAGAGTGGGGTTAAAATTCACGTAAAACTTATTTCTAATAAACGGTGACCATCGATTTATACATCACAGAGAGGGCAGGATGTCGGAACGTTAGTTTTTCTAAGGTATCCAAACATTCTTTTGGGAAGTGACTTCTTCTCTTCTAGGACGGAGAACATAAAGTTACTCCAGAAGACTTCATGTGTTATCTACATGAAGAGATATTGATTGTATCTCCTAATCCATATAATTCACATATACCTATCTAACATAGGTACATATCTACATAAAGGTAATAAAAACAAAAACCAAGCTTTATTCAAAATAAATGAAAGAAGACGACATTCAGATTTATGAGTCAAAAGGGGTTTCGTAACGCTTTTGGCCCACCCGTAATTCGGCGAATCTTTTTTGGCATTAATCGTGCTGCATTTGGACGGATAGCGAGAAATCTGCAAATAGAAGTCTCATTCTCCAACTATTTATGAAATATAATAACATTTTATGGACACCAGAGTATGACTGTTATTAGAAGTTTATTAGCGATATTAGTCGTCACGACATTCCTGGCGCATCTATTCTTACTCGCCGCCCAAATGTATTTTAATGCGTGCATTTTGATTATGGTGCACTAGCATCTGTTACGGGTCAGTTCGTAAACATATCGCAACAAATCAGTTTTATTCGTTAGGCGCTTCCTGAAGCCTTCACGGGTCGTGAATTATATCTAGACGTGAAGAGGTTTACAAGCTTTTCTTACTCCTGTCTGCCTACACATCGCGTGTTTCGTTACATTAACCGTTTGTTCGTTCGGTGGCTTGTGCCAAAAGCTTCCGAATTTTCCGCCAGTCAGCCGTCTTGAATGGCTAGCCATTGACATTGAATAGATACAACGATAATATTCCGTCTGCTTCATTACTGTCTAAAACTGGATCGATATTTGACGAATGTATGAAAATTACAGTTTGTGTAACTCTGGTACCTGCTTAAGAGGGTAAAACTTTTTCAAAATTGGTATCTAATAAGTGCTGGGTTCCTACGTAGGAACATGAGTACTCTATTTTATGACACCAATTGTTGCTTGGTTTCGATATGAGCGTGATTTGCGCTGTTTGTAAGTGTGGGTACGTTTCGTCTGTTGTTTTCGTGTTCCTTCCACATAGAGTTTTATTGCTCTCTTGACCCACTTCCGTGTGGCTCGATCGCTACACCCGAGACTACGTCGAGAGAGATTCCGCCGTGGGAGTAGTAGGAGGGTGCGTTATCTCTCGCTCAAAATGTAGTTATCAGTTCGGAATCCCGACGACTACGAACATCATAGTAACGACGTCGAAGTGGGAGAAACGACTGTTTTAATTAGCGTCAAACGCCGTCGTTATCCGATCCTTAACATATTTTCTTACATTTCGTGCTTTATTTTACGGCGTCTTAAAATTCATTTCGCTATAGATTTAAGTAGATAATTTGGTATATCCGATGCGGAAAAAATGGTAAATTATATTGATTGCAGTAACCTTATTGGAGTACCGTATGTCGTTAAATTTTAGTTGATGATGATGAGAAGTGATAATTGAATTGTTTCGGTTGACATTTTGGGTATTCTGTTAAAAGCGTCAAATGGTATGGTTTATTTGTAATAAGTAAATATTGAACACGTACGTTTAATTTTCCGGTCAGGGACGGATACCGGCGCGCTCACTCAATAACTCGCGCCTCTTTTTCCGATGATCGGCCAATCCTTTTCTCGGCCCCGTCCCACCACCGATCCTTATCAGTCCGGAACTCAATCAATCGCGGCCGGGCACACAGTCGAACATTCTATGTACGGGAGCCACATACCCGATACATAACAGGTTCGGTATTGGTCGGATATCGCCTATAGGTACTCATCTATAGCAATGGAATAGCTGGTGATCGATTCTGCGTGCTGGTCGACCAATGGCGTGTCGCGTAGGAGGTACACGTCGGCTGTCCCTGATCGGAACGATCGGTTCATAGCCTACTACCAATGCATCTATACGGTGCTCTCGATCGAGAGCCTGGCGCCTAGCGATTGTCGTCTCTGTGGAGAGGGACTGCAAGGCGGTCTGCTTATTGATGTGGAACTGAGAGGAGGGAGAACGTCGGATCGGCTGGCTGCTCTGGGAAAACCTGTGCTCATATGGAAGAGAACGGAATTGTTGGCAGAAAGAGAACGGATTGCAATGTGTTTCCTATGTATCCCTTTATGTATCGAATACGCATATCCTTAAAGCAACGCTGAATGAAATAAAATGTCATCAAGTACCAGACATCTTTGGTGCGATTGCGACTTTATCTTCATGTAGACATATAAATTTCTATGTCGCTATTCGGTCTCTTTATCTTTAGGGATATTAGTTTGACTCATGTTCAAAGTCCGATTGCCTAGTGTTATCCACAATCTGAATGACAACTTTGCAGGCGGAACTACTTGTGGAGTTGTGGAAGAAAATTTTTGATTGCTTACTCAAATTGAGGTAATATCCAAACACATATTTGCTCAGGAACGTACCAAGCGCCTTTAGATAAATACCATAAGACCATTAAACTAGGTACCTAGCTAAATCATATTATGACCTTCAATTTTGTGGCTCATGAATCTCGGCAGATTGGTTTTGTAGGTGTTTCATTCTATTTCATATTTTCCAGAAGTACGTGCTGTTTGATTTTGAAATTTGCTTTTTTTCTGGCAAAGAGTATTTCTATTCCTTCCTTTTTTTCTCAAAAATTAATTAACCATCTCGACATTGTTTGTCCTTACTTGGGTATCTGTATAAGTACGTATGCATGTACATGTATATGTGCGGGGTAGCTTCATTTTCCACGTTGTCGCAATAGGTTTTCTCAGAGAGCGGCGACATCGTATTGATCCGCGAGCGTCGTTGTTTGATCAACGGTGGCTACGCCTGCCTATCCCGCGATCTTTCCGAAAGACACGACGTACTAATGAAATTCCATTTATTATTTTATCTGTGTCTGGACCATCAACAAATGTGCCTTTTTTTGAGGTATTTTCGCTTCCAATTACGAACAAACTCTTTGATGTACATATGTAAGTAAGTACTTATTGGCGCTTCTATAATAATGTCCATTTCAATCATGTATGTGGACGAGAATATAAAATATTTTCCTTTCCTGCCATCGAGAGATACATTATAATCTTTGTTTCCTTATATCCCTGTTAGTACATAATGTGTGAATCTATTCTAGCATACGGAAAGTAACTTATTTTGTAGGCAGTTTATAATCAAGATGTTTTGGCACTGTTCATTTGTCCAACATTAGTTAGAACGGTCGGAGGCAAGGAATAAGTCAGGAGGCATCGCAGTTAGTCTACTGAAACCTATAACTTGAGATCTACTGGGACGCAAACCGCTATATATGTTTCGGTTTAACAGTAGCGCTGAGGCAATGGCGGCGGCAGCAACAGCGTCTTGAAAAAACCCAGAGATATATCGCCTCTGTTTGATATCCCATTCCTTCGAGTCCGCACTGCCGTCTTTCTTCCTACACGACATACTATTTCCGTCTTTGTTCATCTATCTTATCTTCGCAAATGCAGCACTTCTGTTATCTGTTCACCCACTGTCCAAAATAACAAATAAACACAGCCACACAAGATCAGTAAAAAATTTCTTAATAGCTACTATAAAATACGCCGTTCTAATTCTATGGGAATTTATTCTGACGAATCTGTGGCATTTTCTTATCGAAATAATTTTTATTTTCAGGTCAGAACCGAAGAAAACTCTTCTACATTGTGCTTAAAGTCAGTAACTGATGCTCACTGTCATGCTGTGGAAAGTCTATTTTACATTTATGCGCTTATTCTATTATTAATACTATTTAAATATTTTATACACTATGGTATATGTACAATATAACACAGGTACTGGCTAAATGGTAGTATTTTAACTTATAGGCTTTTAATTTATTAATTTGTTAAAAACTTAAAACAAGATACAACGGACAAAATTTATTTTCACGTCTTTACACTACCACGGCACTTCTATTACTATACCTGCTATGCATTTTTTCGTTGGAGGTACTGGTTTTACCCCTACATCGGTCGCAATTTGTACTACTACTACTATCTACCTACGCAAAGTTTATGCGTTATCGTTACCCCTATTCTCGCTATCATCTCTCATACCAGGTACTTTTTCTACATGTTTACGTTAGTGGTCTCCGCTGTACCCCTATTTCTTCATACATTTTCAATCGCCTAGAAACAGGTTTGCACACGGCACGCATCCACTTGACCCTCTCCGCATGTTCGTAAACCGCCGCGTACATCGGGAATCAATGCAAAAATTAAAAGAGCTCTCTCCTTGTTGTCTTATAAATTATGGTGTAATATAACTCTTTATAACGTCACTCGATTTAACGACAAACTCCTTAAAACGTCGAAATTGCTTGACTTTGGTTGGTTTACATTGTTTTCTATACAATATTACACTCTATATAGCGTCACGTTTACTCTATTTAACGACAACAATGCGGCATTATAAATCAT